AGGTGCGTACGCGGGTGCACGATGCCATCCATGTACGACCAAGTTTTGTCGCCACACACTCACTCACTTCATCCATTACATCGCACATTGCCATCCATACTCAGAGCCTTCAGGAGAATTTTATGCTCGTCGCTTGCTGCTAGCCATTCACCACACGCACCTGCTCGTCTGCTGTCCTGTGCTGGCCAACGCATCCATCCATCACATTCACCCACTGGTACTGTCTGTCTGTCGCTCGCTGGTCGGTCGTCGTGTGTGCATATAATCCATCCAACGTTCCATGAGCGCAGAGATGCCCAGTGTACCATACGTACACTCTTGCGTGCCCCCGTGTGTTCACTCGTACAGCGTCCGTCTCGTCTCTGCCCGTCCGTCCACTCCATTCCATTCCAATCCATTGCAGTCCATGACACACGCTTGCTGCTGGTAAGGCGAGTTTTGAATTGCGATGGATGGCATGTTTGTCGTGTCTCGTCGTCAACAAAGGAAGGAGAGAGAGAGATCCGTTGTCCGTTGTCAGTCAGCTGTCGCTTTCTCTGTGTGTTTGTTGTCTATCTGCTTGCTGATCGATGGATTCGATGCGTATTGTGCGTGCTAGTCGGGCGATGGTGGATTTTTGACCACCTGTCGCGAAACAAGGACCGACCGACCGATCGACCACTGTCGTGCCTGCGTGCCTGTCGTCTGTCGTATTTGTTATTGGCCACTTCCTGTCTGTCTCACTCGTGTGTACATCAGTCAGTGTCTTCCTTATTGACCGATCGATGGGGGGATGGATGGATGGAGAGAGGGGGGAATTGCCTGTAGAGTCAGGAGGGAGCGAGAGAACAAAGAGAGAGAGGGGGGATGGAGGGGGAAAGGGCGACAGAAGGGGAATTGCCTGCCTGCCTGCCTGCCTTGCCTTGCCTTACTCGTTGTGGTGTTCGGTCGGACGACAATTCAGAAGCTCTTGTCCTGTTTGTCTGGCAGCTGGATTTCTGCCTGTCTGTCTGTCTGTCTGCCTCGGTCTGTCTATGTGTCGGTGTGTCCCCTCTTCCTATCGACGAACGAATGAATGGAGAGATCGGTGTGCGGTGCGTGTACGTGTCTGTGTTGACTGATTGACCCACACGACAAACAGAGCAGACAGATCAACACGACAAGCATCCTCATCGGTCAACACACTCGCATGGTGGCCCGTCGAGCTGCTCTCAACCCATACATGCACCCGTGCGGACACATCTACATCTCTCCGAGTTATTGCACCCCCAACACCACATTCTGGCCGAAGGAAATGCGCCTGAACAACCAACCATACAGCGCCGTATGTGTCTCTCCCGCTCTCCCCCCTTAGTCCCTGCCCGGCTTCCCACCTCTGCAGCGACCTTTCTCCTGTCGGCTTCTTCAGTGCCGATCGCTTTTCAATCACACTCACGCCGACGTTCGTGTGCCGCCGGTTGCTGTCACCCCCCGGCATCACTCGATAGTCTCCGAACCCCGAGCTGTCGAACACATCCACCACACTGGGGGTCTTCTCCTCAAAAGCCTCACACGCAGCATGTGGCACGCTGATGCTGATGATTTCCTGGAGGGGCTCGTCTCGTGACGGCGGATAGGCCGGAGACATCATCGGAGGGAGAAATGTGTGTAGCTGAGGATGGTACTGGTGAGGAGGGGGAAGGGGCAGCCGCACCGGTGTCGACACAGAGCTCTCACTGTTATCGATACGATGATGGCCGTCATGAGTCCTCCTGGGGCTCTGAAATGCCGATGCCGATGCAGAGAAGGAGAGAGTCGTGGGCGTGGCGACTGACGGCGCGGAGGGGGGCGGGAGGGGAGGTGGAAACGACGTGGGTCCATGCGGCATCGGCATGGCCTTCGTGCCGTAGCCACGGCCATGTGATGCCGCGGGAGGTATCGGCCTCGGCTCGCTGGGCTGTGAGACAGGTGAGGTTCTCATGCCAAAATGCGGCCGACCGATGTCACATGGGTCGCTGTTGGTCACGGCAGCAGCGAGGGGCAGAAAGGACGTTGGAGGGTGGGCGTGTGGCGGATTACGCCTGTGAGGGAGGGTGCTGGGGTCAATAGTCACACCAATACTGTGGTCAGAGTCTGAGACACCCACAGACACGGACACTAGTAAGTACCACACACATGGTTTGTGTTGTCTGCCTTGATCACCTGAGGAGATGGTGTGTTCGACCAGCTCCAGAGCTGCCCTGCGATGTGCAATATGGTCAGGGTCGATGTAGAGGCCTTCGGGCAGCTCAAACAGGACCACGAGCACATACAAGAAAGTCTCCACCAGCACCGTGCCCAGGTACATCAAGACATGCTTCCGACGGCCTGCACACACACCCCACACCACTCGTGCCTCGATTCACTGCCCTGCCTTGTTTGCGCTCTTACCCACCCACCCGTGTCTTTCGCCCTGACAAACATCTGCAAGACGCAATCCTGCCATGGTGCCTCTCCCTTCCTGGCGGCAATCTCATTCAGCCACCCTTCCAGTCGCTGCATCGCATTCATCAGAGCCCCGTTCGGCTGATGGGTTGTCGGTACCCACATATTGGCGGGCAATCCCCAGGTGCCTCCGTCTGCCACCTCGACGCGCGACCTGATCGAGGTGAGGATGCTGTTGCCCACCAGCTCCCAGGGACTGTGGCCAATGAACTGCTGAAACTGTATCCACCAGACAAACACAGAGGCATAGAGGCAGGGAGAGTGTGTGTGGGCGACATTTGTGTCATTTACCTTGTCGTTAACTACCCTGATGGGGCAAATTCTGCTCGTGGGGTCTAAGATGGCATTGCCTATCACCTTGGCGCCGCCAAGAGGGGCACAGGAAGGCCAGGAGGAAACCGGAGCCTGCAATGCCGCACCAAACACGCACACAACAAACATTCCATCAGGTCGCAGTATCTCTTTTGCTGTGTTCTCCTGTTTTGCACTTTCAGCGGCGGCCGATGGGGCCATGGTGGCTGTCGCCATGGAGGGCCAGAGGGAGGAGGGGGATGCGGCTGCGGCTGCTGACGGGCAGCCAGCAACTCATGCACTGAGACACAAACACGATAACAGCACCCAATTCATTGCAAATGGGCCCTTCAAGTATCTTTCTGACACCTACGTCTGGCCTTGAGCTGTTCCAGCTTCCTGAGCACCTCATCCAGCGGTTCATCGTCGTCGTCGTCGTCATCTCGCCCTTCACTCCCTTCCCCCTCCGGCCCCCTGACAGCCCCTCCCTCTCCAGAGGCTTTCGGCTGTGCACTCTCGTCAGCGCCATGGTCAGACTCGCATACGCATTCACCGCCGCTTCTGCAGCTCTCATCTGAATGGCCCGAATCCGATGGCGATGGCGAATAGTCGCTGGGCTCCTTTGCAGTGTTTCGGCCGCAGAGGAAGAAGGCGCACGTGGCCGTCGACGAGCCTCCCCTGCTGCAAGGACTGAGCATGGACAGACCGCCTTCAAAACACTAAGCTCGCGACTTTGGATCGCATGACCCCATTTCTCCGCGTTACTTCGCGTGCATGATGAGGCAGATATTAGATGGGTGGACACCAAGTGTCTGGTGCATTGTGAGATAGATCATCTCCGTCTGCATGGACAGCTGTACAACACTAGTCGTGTCCAACCACCTGCTGAGCTGTACACACACCAATCGGTGTCTATAGGACACACCAGTACATGCACACAGTTGTGCAGGACAGCTGCCGCCATTCCATCCATCATCCATCCATCATCCATCCATCCATCCATCTACACTACTTGCGCTTGGCATTTCCCTTGTCCACCAAGCTCTTGAGCAGTGTGTTCCGCACCGTGACCTAGAGTCTGAAATATTCGAGACTACTGTCTGTCTGTCCATAAGCATACATACTATCAACAAGAAGTAGACCGCAGCCAACACAGGAAGTTTCCACACGGGCTGGAAACTTCCGACGTGTTGGTTCTCTGGTCTGTCTGCCTGTCTGTCTGTCTGCACCCACCCTTGAAGCGACACAAGAAACGCATGCACACACACACACACACACACACACATACACACATACATACACACATACGCACACGAATGCACATCGGCGGCAAGCTGTACACGCCACCTCTCCCCTCATCCCTCTCACGCAACTCCCCCTCGTCATCGTCATGCAATCTATGTGACGCCTGCTGCAGCAGTTGCTGCAGTGGCTGTGGTGCTGGTCCTGGTCCTGGTGTTGTTGATGTGCTCGGCGAGCGAGGCGCATGCGCTGCTAATGAGCAAATACGCCTGCGGCACCAGCCTGGAGAACAGCTCGAGGCTGCCAAACTGAATCGCACCTGCATCCCATCCACACCAATGAATGCGCCAATGCATCAGTGCGCAGCATGTGGGTAGTGAGTGGGTCTGGCGGACCATTTGGCAGTGCCTTGACGATGCACGGCACCAGGCCGTGATAGAGACGGCACACGCCGCCCTCGCGCAGCACCTGACGCAAGCAATCCACCATGCCCCTACACCCACACCCACACAGAAAGAGAGAGAAGGGGCACGTGTGTGGAGAGAAGGGGCATGTGTGTGTGGTTGACGCATCGATCGCATGTACCTATACTTGCGAGGGTCCATGCCGTCGCCCGTCCGTTTGTCGACACCATCGGCCATCATGCGCTTCCTGCAGACATTGACATAGACAGCACCAACGCAAGTGGCAGTGTGTGTGTACCTTATTGTGTCGCATGGGAACACCATCAGCTGCGCTGTCAGGCTGGCCAGCGACCCTGTGTGAGACACACATTATGAGATCAGAGGTGGTGCTGGCTAGCCGCCGCTCGCCCACCTGCAACGGATGACTCCACGACGTCCGCCGCGCCGTCGGCCTTGCTCGACGCCCCATTCACACAGGGACGAATGTACCTACCAAACACCACACACACACATATTCACAGACACATACGCGCATTGGGTGGATGCCATGTCTCTCGCTGCTTGGTGCACACACCATGCCATACGCACCCTACCTGCGGTATCTGTCTCTGTAGTCGTCCCATAGCGACAGCTGGAGGGCGACGTAGGGCACGCCCGTCACTAGCGTGGGGCAAAGCCCCTTCCAAAACCCACCGACACCCTCACGCACGTAGATCCGCGCCACACAATCCAATATGCCCCTGTACCCCCCACTACCCCCGCCCACGCCACCACTCGCCACGCTCGCCACGTTGCTGCCCAGCGCCAGCCGCACCGTCAGCAGATCCAGCGGGTAGGTCGCCAGCTTCTGCACCGTCCCGGCCACTAGCCCCGCCAGCAAGAGGTCACTGGAATACAGACGCCCATCGGCCCTGTTGCTGCTGCTGCCGTTGCTGCTACTGCCACTGCTGCTGCTGCGCGCGAGTCTGATTTGGTCTTTGATGAAGTCGTTGGTGCCGAATTTGATGCCGTAGACGGCCATGGCGCGGATACAGTTCATCAGGTTGCCGCGGAACAGACCCGCCACGCCCTCCTCGGCGTATATCTGCCGGAACGTGCCGAACAGGCCGAATGAGCCGCCGTACTTGAGCGTGGCGCTGGGCCGCGGGGCAGCCGAGTGGCCGGCCGAGGTGAACATGCCCTGGGTCTGGTAGAGGGTGCGCACTCGGTCGAGTGGCGCACATGCGGTCTTGGTGATCATGCCGGCAAGGGCCGCCGACACCAGGCTGCACTGGGGCGAGGGAGGCTGATGGTTGTCATGGTCACTGGACTGCATCATGGTGGCCATTCAATGGATGAGTGCATCACTCGTCAGAGGGGGAGGGGAGGGGAGCGATGCTCGTGACGAGAGATGCCGATCCGCCATTCATCCCATGGTTGTCCCATGGCTTCATCACCGCTGGCGATGGTTCGGACGCCCCGGCTCCTCCGATCGTTCCTTGCGAGCTCAAGTTCAGAGGGGTTGTGCTCCTGACGAAAACTGGTGTGAGAATGAAGCAATGAAGTGACGAGGATAGAGATCTTGGGAATCAGAGCGATTGGATGAAGAAGATGTGTCCATTGGGTCATGCGATGTTCATCACTGCACTGGTCGGCCTGCTGGGAATCAAAGCCGATGCCTTCCGCCATCACGCGCTTCGTCACACCTCCGTTCCTGCAACGTTCGTCCTCTCGCCTGGTGGTGCCGACTTTCGTCACGCAACAAATGTAGCCAGCCCAGGCACAGGCAGTTGACACACACGGAGGCTGGCTGTTGTGCAGGTGCAGTGCATCGATGCTTGTGTGTCCTTGTTTGCGGCTTTTGTGCTTTTTTGCCAGCGGCATGTGAGGCGGCCTCTGACGCAGATGTCCATCGGCGGCCTCCTAAAGCCCTTCGGTGCGGCAGATCCGTTGGAGGACCTCATGGAGCGCAACAAGGCAGCTGCCATCGAGTACCAGGGGCGGGTGGACCGCATCAACAGACTGGAGGACGAGGTCGAGAACCTCTCGGACGAACAGCTCAGGCACGCAAACCATGCAAGACAATTAGCAGTGTGTGAGAATGGAATGGTTGTCTGCCTCTCTCGTCTTTTCTGTTTCAGAGCCAAGACAGAAGAGTTTCGGGATCGTTTGGCATCTGCTCTTGGCGTGTCTGTGTCTGAGCTGCGGACAGTGGACGATCTGGCGAAGGAGAAGGCGGCGCTTGACGGCATCCTCGAAGAGGCGTTCGCCGTCGTCAGGGAAGCGGCATGGAGAGTCCTCGAACTGAGGTGACTTAAAGGCACAGGATACGCGCGCACCCACCGGTCTGATGAGTTTGGTGTTGAATGCATTGCAGGCACTTCGACGTGCAGCTCTTGGGCGGGATGGCGCTGCATGACGGCCGGCTGGCGGAGATGGCCACGGGAGAGGGCAAGACGCTCGTGGCCACGCTGCCCGCCTACCTCAACGCGCTGCTGGGCAAGGGGGCGTTTGTGGTCTCCCAGAACGAGTACCTCACCAAGAGGGACGCCGACACTATGGGGCAGATATACAAGTGAGTCAGGCAGGCAGGAATCCATCGATCTCGACGAATGACTATTTATGTATGTGTGCCTCGAATGCGTCGCTCGTCTGTCTGTCTGTGTGCAGGTTCCTGGGTCTGAGTGTGGGTGTGGTGGTGCCGGGTCAGGAGAGGGAAGAGAAGAAGCGCGCGTACGCTGCAGACGTCATCTACGCCACACACCAGGTGCGTGCAGTGCAGATGTGGCCACACCATCCACTCTCACCCACCCATCACTCCTCCCATGTGTGTGCTGTGTTGGCACCAGGAGCTGGGTTTCGACTACCTCCGCGACAATCTGGCCTACAGCGACGGTGCGATAGTTCTGGACCCGGCGGCCACGGGCCGCCCCTCGCCCTTCTACTACTGCATCGTCGACGAGGCCGACTCGATCCTCATTGACGACGCCAGGAACCCTCTGAAGATCAGCCAGACTGTCGGAGCACCACTCGTAAGAGGGAGGGAGGGAGGGAGGGAGGAAAGAAAGTAACCAGACAGCTGCATTGAATGCATTGCCGGCTGTCCGTGTGCGTGGATGCGGTGTCTGTTGGTAGGCCAAGTACGCCCGTGCTGCAGAGCTTGTGCAGGTGTTGCAGAAGGGCCGCGACTATGAGGTCGACGAGAAGCGACAGACGGCGTTCCTCACCGACGATGGACTAGAGGTCAGACACGGAGCACGCCATGCCCTTGCATCTGTCTAGAGCCGTCGTGTGTGTATGGCGATCGTCAGAATTTGGCTGACATTCTGGGCATGGAGCCGTACGATCCCTCTGAGAACTGGGTGTACTTCGTCGTCAACGCCATCAAGGCCAAAGAGCTCTTCCAAAAGGACCAGCAATACATCGTCGAGTAAGTCAGACAGACCGTCCCCCTTCCCCTCTCACACCCCACACAGCCACATCAACACCCACCCGAACACCCCTCCCTGCGCCTCCCTCCTGTCACCCCCCTGCCAGGGACGGTCGAGTGTCGATTGTCGACTCATTCACAGGCCGCATTCTCGAAGGTACGTACGAACATTGGCACATCACGAGCACCCAAGCGACGTTCGCGGAGGGAGGCCCCTCACTCACTTGCGCGTGTGTGCTGCAGGTCGGCGGTACACCGACGGCATCCAGCAGAGCATCGAGGCCAAGGAGGGCGTAGCCGTTTCGGGAGAAACACAGGTCAGATCTGAGCGATGAATGCCAAGATGGATCTGTGGGCATACGCTGGTCGTGTGTGTGTGTGTGTGTGCGTCGGTGTGCGCCCCCAGGAGATAGCGAGTGTGACGTACCAGTCGCTGTTCAGGCTCTTCCCGCGGCTCGCTGGCATGACCGGCACTGCATTCACCGACGCAAAGGTGCTCACCCATCCAGCCACCGAGACACACCCGCGCATGCATATTGTGGTCGCGTCGTGTGCAGGAGTTCCTTGACTTCTACGGTCTAGAAGTCATGCCCATCCCAACAGCGCTGCCCGTCGGTAAGTGGATGGACAACGGACACTGACTGGGCTAAGCCATTCTTTGATGCGACCACGAATGTTGCTGCCTGCTTCTTGTGACTTTAGCCCGTCGTGACTACCCCGATGCCGTCTTCAAGACGGTCGAGGCCAAGCTCAACGCCATGCTCAAGGAGGTCGACAGGGCACACAGGACAGGAAGACCCATACTCATCGGTATGCTCTTCGACGAAAAACGCAAGATACAAGGTCACGTACGTAGGTCCACCTGTGTGTGTGCAGGGACGACATCGGTGGATCTCTCGGAGAAGATTCAGGCGGCCTTGGTCGAGAGCGGCATCGACGCACAGGTGCTCAACGCCAGACCCGACAGCGTGGAGCGGGAGGCGCAGGTCATCGCACAGGCGGGCCGCAAGGGTAAGGTGACGGTCGCCACCAACATGGCGGGCAGAGGCACCGACATCATTCTAGGCGGCAACCCCGCCGCCATGGCCAGCCTCAAGCTGCGGTCCCTTCTGCGAGACGCCATTCCGTTGCCCGAAGGCGCCTCACAGAACCGGACACAGCAGCCCGTCGAGGTGAAAGAGGGCTTTTACCCCGCCCCGTTGGATGAGGAGCTGCTGGCGGCGGTGGGGGACCTGACTGAGGAGCTCAGGGCCAGGGGTGATGGCACCATGTCCGAGAGAGCCCTCGACGACCTCATGGCTATGGCCGCCGACCAGCTGCCCACACAGGACGACCTCGTCCTGGCAGCCAGGGGCGCCTTCGAGCAGATCAAGGAGACATTCCAGACCGCTCTTGAGAACGAGCAAGAGGAGGTCAGGCGGCTGGGCGGGCTGTACGTTATCGGCACCCAGCGGCATGAGTCACGCCGTATCGACAATCAGCTGCGGGGCCGGTCAGGGCGACAGGGGGACCTCGGTGCATCACGATTTTTCCTCTCTGTTGAGGACGACATTTTCCGCATCTTTGGTGGCGACAAGCTGAGCGGGCTGATGTCGACCTTCAAGATCGGCGATGACATCCCGATCGAGTCAAACCAGGTCACGGAGTCACTCAACAACGTACAAAGAGGTCAGCCAGCCACCCAACGACATGGGCATCATCCATCACCCGCTCATGGCATGGGCTGTGCGTGTATGAGTGAGTGCAGCTGCTGAGGAGTATTTCCGCGACATCCGTAAGCGCGTGTTTGAGTTCGACCGTCCGATGGTGAGCCAGCGGCAGGAGATCTATGGCCTAAGGCGGCGGGTGCTCAAGGCTGACGACGGTGAGGTCCTCGACATCGCCACACAGTTCGCCAACACCGCTGTGGAGCTGACAGTGGAGGAGTTCACGAGTGCCGACGGGCAGGTCAACGGACCAGCCATACTAGAGAAGCTCCAAAAGTAACAGAGGGACACCGAACCTGTTGATTGTACCATGACCACTCACAGTGGCATGTCTATCTGCGTGGGTGCAGGGTGTTCGGTGAGTCCTTTTCGACAGAGTCTGTGCGGCGGGATGGGGGCGTCACCGAGCTGGTGGCCGACCTTAAGGCCGCGAGCAAGGCGAGTGTCACTGCACGGAAAGACCAGCTGGAGCAGATACGACCGGGGCTCTTCGCTAACGTACACACAATACCATCAACACACACACACACAGCCGGCTAGGCTACTGCACGTCTGTCGTGTCGGTGTATGCATCTGTCGTGTTGTGTTGCGTGTCGGTAGGCGTTTGTGAGTTGCGCATTGGCCCGCTTCGACCGCCACTGGGCCGAGCATCTGCAGCGGTTGGGTTACCTGAAAGAGAGCATCAACGTGCGGCTGCTGTCAGCAAGTGCGGGTCGGCGGCAGGACAGTGTGGTGACGCCCATCCAACAATACGAGATCGGCGCCAACCAACTCTTCCAGTCGCTACTCAGGGATATTCAGAGGTGAGTGACTCGGCAAACCCACCCGCAAACACACGCCAGGTTGCATCGATCGACGGCTTGTTGTCCTGCGTATGTTGCGGCAGGTTGTCTCATTTTTCGCTATCTGTGAATACAATGGAGCGGCTGCAGCAGCTGGCCCCCCGAAGGGGGAGCGGACCGGGTGAGGCCGCACAGCCGCCATCTGTCCCATCCCAGCCGAGCGCTCCGGTGGCCGCCTAGCTGACGACGGGGGTGTGCATGTGTTTGTGCTGAATGAGGACTGATGAGATGTGACATATATATTGCATGGGACGTATCAAAAAATGTGTCTTGTATCTAACGGTCAACGGCAGGTTGTCGCACTAATCTGACACCCGAGACAGTGTCTATTCTTGGCACCGCAGTTGCGTACACGTACGTCTCAGCGTCACAGACCCTCATGTCATGTCGGACCTCACACCGGAGGACGACCTCACACCGGAGGACTGGCAATACATCGCAGAAGGCGGCCTGCACGGTACGCAGACGGCTTTCACACTCGCACACACGCACGGAGCTCTCTCTTACATGGGCCTTTCTGCTTCCTTCAGTTGTGTTCGGGTTCCGCGGCTCTGATTCTCATCCTTTCAGGGGCTGCGTCCTGCGGGTCCCAAAGAAGCACCCCCGAGTCGCCCGCGCCAAGCGGCACCTAGTTGGTCTCTCGAGGGCCCTCCTGACGCCCCGCTACTCGTACGACAGCAAGGTTGTCCGTCTCCCGATTCCTTTCGTGAGTGCCCTGTTTGCTCGGGCAGAAACACACAGACCTGCCCACCGACTGCAAGAGGGAGAGCCGGGAGTATTGTCCCTTGGACACGACGACTACATTGAAGCCACGCAGGTCTGCAGACAGACAGACAGACAGACAAACAGGTGTCTGCAGGGAGCTATCTGTCGCACTGGCTATAGATACCCGCACCCCCCATGGTATGTATGTTTGGATGGATGCAGGAAGAGGACCTTGCCACGTCTTCCCTCCCTCGTGACGCCGAGAGCGTACAGATCATCTCTCTCGAGATCAAGCCCAAGTGCGGCCTGGTCGATGTCGAGAATCTGCCGACTCGTTTCGTCATGAAGGAGAAGGCCAATCCGGACCCTCGATTCGCCCAAAGAAGTGCCTATAATCCGGCAGATTTCCACTCTTTGGACGCTTCGCGCTTTCAACGTGCCCTGATGGCCATCATGGACGTGCCGCGCAATAACTTCCGATACTTCAACGAAAGACGGAAGGGCCAACAGTCCTCAGAACATCAAGCAAGTATCCCAGGCGAGAAACGGCAGTTCCTGCTGGATGTGCTGACGCCGATCTTTGCGGGGGAGGGAGAGACGCCGCCTCTGGTCGGCGACCTCTTGGTTGGGCTTCTGGCAGCTCAATCTTGGGGCGCGGGGCAGCAAAAGACAGCCGAGGACGTCTACGCGAGCATGACCGAGGAGGACAGGCAGAAAGTAGACCCTGGGGACTCTGAAGAAGCTGCGGCTATATACGACCAGGTGAGACATCGGCACGTTGATGTGTCGAGTGATTGATGTTGCCTGTCCTTCAGGCGGTCCTCTCCTTCTTCAATGCATCACAAACTGATCTCCCGGGGCTGCTCACAGTTGTGAGTCCCTCTGACGTCCTCCCTCACGCAGACAATGGCTGGAACACACTGCAATACCGACATCATCAAGCCGGCCAGGCGATTGTCCGGACGCCCACCTCGAGCAGTGCGGCTGTGGAATGGGTGGCTCGGTACCTTATGGCTCGGACTTTTATGGACGTCAGCTTGATGGTGAACCTTGCTGTCACGCCGGAGAGCGACGAGTCGCTTCGTGACGCACTGACAAGTCGGCGGTATCAGCGAGTGCCGTATCAGAGTGGAGACATAGAGGTGTGGTATCGTGTGATGGTGGTAAGGAACAGCATGAAGTGAGAGACGCGCATGTGCTCACTGACGGGCTACTGGCCCATGAGTATGTGTTTTGATTTGTTGATCGATCAGACCGACGTCGATTTGAAGCCGGCATGGAAGATAAGCAGGTGAGCGGGGGGGGTGGGGTGCGGCTGTACAATGTCGATTTGCGTGGATGGAATGTGCGCGCAGGTGGCGGCAGGACCTGGACGACATCCTTGCGGCTTATCATCGAGATAGGGATGGAGAGGATGTGGCTTGATGCATTGCAATGGAATCGAAATGCATTTGTCGGACACAAGGACGTCTCACTGTACACATGTACACAGCAGCCTACTCCCTCACTCAGTCACTCACTCACTTGGCTTGCTTCCTCACAGAACCCTTTCCCTTTGCCCTTTTCTTCCAGCGATCCATCATACTCCTAGCCTTTTTCATCGTGGTTGCACGTGCGCCCTCCCTCCCCTCCACCTTGCCCACACCGACCGGCAATTTCTTCTGTATGCGCCGCTCTGCTGGGTGCACTTTGGGGGCCGCACGAGCCGCCTTCCTCTTGCCAGGTTTCCTCATGCTGGTCTGCTCCTTCTGCAATTTCGCCGCCTCCTCTGTCAAGACCTTCGTCACCCGCAGTGGCCGCTCCTGAAGAAAGGATGACACAGAGAAGGAGCAGCGCACAGAGAAGGATGACACGCGGCTGGTGTATTCCAGAGCTCACCAATGGGCCGAATGGCTGTTGGTGCAGCTGCTGTATGGCCTTGACGACGTGTGATCGGTCGGCGAAGTGAACAAAGCCAATGCCCTTGCACATGAAGGTCGCCTTGTCGCGAATGATGCGAACCGCTGAAATGACACAAAAGGCAGCACGTATTGTCATGTCTTTCGTGGCATGCTCGTGTCCGTCACTCACCCTTGACAGGCCCAACTTGGGAGAAATGCTGACGCACATCATCCTCCTGCGCTTCACGAGGCAGACCGCCCACAAAAACACTTCGTTTCCGGTCGAATTTCTGCGTGCGTGAGCACGACACAGAAGGGAACGGGGAGAGACCATCTAGATACATACGTGTGGACACATCTGTCACTGTCGTTGCTATCCTACGCTGAATGCGCTGCCGCTGTCTGCCCGGTCGAGCCGCAGGAGATGGCCGCTCAGCTCAATGTCATCCCTACGCTGCAGGAACTCCTCAAGCCCCTCCTTCTCCCGGAACACAACATACGCCACCTGGCTGCCGGCCGTACCCTGATAGACACACACACACACACGCAATTGGAAGCATAATTTCGTTCGGGCCCCTTGTGTGTGTCACGACGTGCCGTGACCGCATATTCTTTCTTGATAACTCCCGCCTTCCTCTGGTTCATCCACTTGGGGGAGACAGGCACCGACCGAAAACGAAGCTGAAACGGCAAGCATAGCATACCCACACAGTGAATGTCACAGACACCCCAGAGCTCGAGTGAACACACTCGTAAGTCACTCTCACCGATTCAACATCCGGCTTTCCGACACCCAGAGCGTCCAGCACCTTGTCTTTCTTGACATTGAGCGGCACATTGCCGACGAAGAGTGTCCTTGAGTCCCTCTCAGAGTCATCGTCACCCTTGCCACCCTCACCCTTTGTCTTCTGCTGCTTCTTCTTCGCGTTCTTCTTCATGATCTTCTCGGGCGGCTTCTCAGGCTGATTGAGTGAGTCACCTAGTAAGTCAGTGGGCGGCGCAATTGGTGCGGGAAGGGGGGCGGATGGGCGTGCGAACAGAGCCGTCACTGCACTCATTGCATGCTCTCCGGTTGCGGCATCCCGGGGCTCTTTGGCCTTCTTTTTGTTCTTCAGCGGCTCATCTCCGCTCGTGCCGCTCAGGAGTGACGAGAGGAAGCCGGGCTGATAGTCATCCGTCGCTGAGTGTGCCACATGCCGCACCTTCCTCTTCCCTGCGGGTGTCAGGTTGGCGTGCCGGCCTTCATCATCCACCTGTGTGGTGGATCCATCAGCAGCATCAGAACTGATCTCCTTCCGCTTCATCTTTCCTTCTTCGAGGCTAAGCTCGCAGATCTGGCTCAGCTCGCACGAGAAGGGCGCGAAAATGCCCAAGAATCGCTTTGATGACGACTCTGAGGACGAGTATGAGGACGAGGCCCCGAAGAAACGCCGCAAGGGCGGCGGGAGAGGCGCCGGCGAGAGGAAAGGCAGCGGCACGGGAGGCGCCAAAGGGCCTGTGGTCCGGCGGAAGGGCGACGATGACAAGCGGACACTCGCTGACATCTTCACGGAGGAGCAGGAAGACAAGGACAGGTGACAACCATAGTCAGATCGCGGGTGTGTGTGTGCGTGAGTCGCATGAGCATCTTTCATCTCACACTCGCTCTGCTTGTCGTGTGGTGTTGTCAGGGCTCAGCTGTTTGTGGATCTGAGTGTGGAGCCGTCCTTGTTGCCTCCCCGGCGGTTCTGCACCGTGTGTTACTTCTTCGCCAAGTACCGGTGCATCAACTGCCGCCAGGCCTTTGTGTGCTCGATGCGGTGCGCCGAGGAGCACAACGAGAAGACATGCGTCAGCCGCAAGATGCTGCCACGACGGTGGGTGACAGGGGAGGGAGCTGTGTGGGGACAGAGGGCGTCTCATGGGTGTTCGTGTCGTGTCTCTTTTATGGTGGTGCTGGTGTGTGATGCTGTCTGTGCAGGTGACGGAAGAGTTTCTCTCCCCGTGTGTTTGCTAGCTGAGAGACTGTCTTGTGGCAGCTTTGTGTAGATAGATACCTTTCCCAATGTTATGGATTGAACTCTTCCCTCCTGCCGTGCTGTGGTTGGATGCTGCTGATGCCCCTGTGGGTAATGCCGGTCCTGCACCGCAAACATCGCTGTGCATGACCACCGTTGCCGATGGGGGCATCAGCACGCCAACTCAAGCAACAAGATGAATGGGCAGCGTGTGCGTATGTGTAATATATATACCTCTGCAACCACACGATGTCGACGGACTGGGGAGTTGGTCTATCGTGACAGCCGCGAGCCAACCAGATGTGAATGCGCCTTTCAAATGCTTTTGTGTCATTCATTGATAGCCCGTCTTTGACACCAACACACATACACACACTCAACCACACACACACCCACACACACGAAAACTACCCAAAAACCATCCTACTTGATCAAAAGGCGCTCACACGAACCCCCTCCTCTGCTACGAGCCTGCCTGGCCATACAACACACACATCCATCTGTGTACACAACGCGCCCACACAACTGCAGCCAGGTCACGGCACCCAATTAGGCCGCCGACTGGCCGTCGGCCAGTCGGCCAGCAACGCTCGTCTCCCCCTCCCAGTCACGATTGTGGCGAGAGGCAGACGGACGCAAAAAGATCACGAAATGCATCAACCCACTCGCCCACCCAAAGCCAATCGAACCGCCGGCCAAACGCACATCTCTGCAATGCATGTGCCGTCTCTCCCACAGCCACACTGATTGGCTCAGACACGGTATTCGTTGATCGGTGCATCGGCAGGCACGGCCTCCAGCCCGTCATCTTGGTCATCCTTGAGCGGGGTCAGCGCCCGGTCCTGCCAGTAGCCCACTGTCGATGCGAAGGGGTCGCCGGGGAAGTGCGCCGTCATGAACAGCCCTCCCATCACGCCGGCGTAGTGCTTGTCCCTCTTGTAGCGCGCCGTGAAGTGCAGCCTATCGCCTGTCTTCACCAGCCGCTCGCCGTTATGGTAGGAGCATGGCGAAATGCCCGTGACGTAACCCGCCTCGTCGCCGGCCTTGCTCTCGGTGCTGCCGTACAGCACGCGCATCTCGCACCGCCACTGCTCGGCCGTGTCGTGAAAGGCGGTGAAGGTTGCGTTGATGGCGCCCACGTGCATGTGGCCGCGGAGCTCCACGATCTCAAAATTGTCATTGACAACAGCCGTCTGCTCCTTGACGTCAACACACGAGGCGTCCTCAGCAAGCAGCCGGCGCTGCTTCATGACGGCAAGAGGTCCACTCGGAGCTGACGCACCTCCAGCGGCCTTGGCGCATGGGTAGACATTGTACTCGACCTTGCCGTGCACGGCGTCCATGCCAAGGAGACGGACGGGCTTGACGTCGGCCGTGAGGTCGGCGTAGCGCACCACATACCGTATGCGGTAGTGCTTGGCGGCTGGCCGAGGGATGAAGTTGCGGATGGGCGGACCGAAGATGTCTTTGGGGTTGGAGTTGCAATCCGGGCAGTAGGTGGGGTCATCGAAGGGGTCGGTGTCGTTGGCCGTCACGAACGGGTCGAAGGAGGTGTGGCAGTGCGTGCCGTCCTGGCAGCAGAGAAGCGAGCCGTGGCGACCGTCAGGGGCGCAGCGGCACTGGATGCATGCCGGAACATTGGTGACGTTGTCGGTCCGCAAGATGTGGACGTTCAGGTACCAGCTCTCGTCGCCCGTGGTCGTGAATGCGTAGGGGGCCTTCAAACTGAAGATAGGGGTACCTGCAATGTACACACACATCAGGCAGATGAGATGCACAAGTAAGTAAGTCACACGTAAGGCACACCCAGTTGGCAATGACAGACCGACACACCGACAGCTGATCTGACCCTTACCTCTGGTTTCGGCGCCCACTGCCAAGACCTTAGTGAAGTTGAGCTTCTCGCCCTTCGCCGCAAAGTAGATGAGGAAGTGGTGAAGGTAGACCTGAAGACGCACACACACACCCTCGGCTGCATATGTGTGTGTGTGAGTGAGTGAGTGTGTGTGGCCTTGACACACCTCGGACAGCGGCACGCTCACGTTCTTGTCATCGACCACCTCACCCCACATCCCTCGCACCGCAATCGGGCCCTCAGGCATCGCCACAGGCACATGAAGCGGGTTGGTGTTGAGCACATCGCCCGGTCCCACTGGAAATGAGTCGCTCAGAAAGGTTGCCTCCTTCTCATTGTCGGTGAGCTGGGTGGTCTTGTGGTGGCTGAACGACAGTTTAAGGCCGCTGCCGCCCTCTGTGGGGATGAAATGGGATGCATATTGATGGATGGCAGATGCCGGCGAGAGGAGGGCGAGGAGCGGAAGAACAACGGCGACACGCATCCTCCGGCTTGAGCGATGAGTGGTACAGGGTCTATACGGGCACGAACGTATCCCTGGGGCACACCAATAAGCGGCGACGGATTTGGAGGTCTTTCCGGCGCTGGCCAAAATTCTCAGCTCGCGTCTGAGCTCGCCCTTTGCCTGGAGCCAAGATGGAGCTGCAGCGTCCGCGTGAGCCGACCATGCAGCGAAAGGAGCCAAGTTGTGCAGCTGCTGAAGCAGATGAGCCTCCAGAAAGGCCGAGAAGGTCCTCCCACCGGCACAGGAGCCGCACTTCCGTCTTTCCTCTATCTGGCTTTGTCATCTGCACCCTAGCCATCCCCTCAGCGTGTGCATTCATTCCCCTTTCCCCTCAACTCTCCTCCCCCAGACCATCCCTGCATCAGCTCAGGGCCAGGCAGGGCGGCGCAACCGCGAGCGGCATCGGCTTCGGCGCAGAGACCAAAGTGGTCAAGAAGAAGAAGCCAAAAAGTGCGAGAAGCGACTCGTCGAAGGCTGTGCATGGCGGCTTTCGCTTCTCGGGTGGACTGCGGCCGGGCAAGTTGTCGCCGAGGAGGGAAGTGCCACGGGAGATCCCTCGTCCTGATTATGTGGGTGGGCTGCCGCCGGTCAAGAACATTCTGGGGTGGATACCGCAGAAGAGCCCTGAAGAGATTGAGGGCATGAGGCGGGCAGGTGAGCCGAAGCAGCACGGATGGATGGTGTATCTACCTACGGTTCATTCGTGTAAGTCACCTCTCTATCCCTCCCTCCCTCCCTCTGTGTGGTGTGTCTGTAGGTCGCATAGCCCGTGAGGTGCTGGACATCGCCGGCAGGGCTGTGCAGCCGGGCGTGACAACCGACGAGATTGATGCGCTAGTGCACGAGGCAGCGATAGAGCGGAACGCCTACCCCTCGCCCCTGGGCTACCGCGGGTTCCCGAAAAGCGTGTGCACGTCTGCCAATGAGGTCATCTGCCACGGCATCCCCGACAGCACCGTTCTGTGCGAGGGCGACATTGTCAATGTCGACGTCACCACCTACTTCGAGGGTCAGGCGGACATATGACGGGCAGGGAGGGATACATGCGAGAGAGATGCCTGCAGGCGGTGTGGTGTGTTGTCTGGGTGTGTGAGTCAGGTTTTCACGGTGACTGTTCTGAGACTTTTCTGGTCGGCAGTCCCGATGGTGTTGACGAGGAGGGCAGGAGGCTCGTCAAGGTCACATATGATGCCTGGCAGGAGGCCATCAAGCTCTGCAAGCCGGGAACACCGTACAAGAACATCGGAAAGGTCAGCGGAGAGCCAGGGCTGAGAAAAGCGACACACGCAAACGGCTCCCAATCTCCGTTGTCTGTCTGTGTGCAGACCATCTACGAGTACGTTCGGTCGTACGGGTACGATTCGACTCCGGGGTTTTGCGGTCACGGGATCGGCCGGATGTTTCACGACCAGCCTGAGATCCACCACGTCCCAAACAGCGTCCGCGGCGAGATGCGGCCGGGCCACACATTCACCATCGAACCTATGATCAACGAAGGTCAGCCGACATCACCCGAACAGATGCGCCAGGTGTCTGTCCAGCAGTGTAGTGTTGTCTTGTGCATGGCTGCACTGCATACAGGATCTGGCGAGTACATCACATGGCCCGATCAGTGGACGGTGACGACCAAGGACGGGAAGCGGTCAGCCCAGTTTGAGCACACCATTCTGATCACTGACGACGGGGTGGGGCATGAGCTGCTGACGGGCAAGATAGAATCGTCACCGAAGTACTGGTGGGAAGGGACGGGATATGACGTCGAGCCTGTGAGGACATAGAGACAATGCGGCCGTGCGCCACGAGTTTTGTGCGCGTTTTGTGTGTGTGCCGGGGAGAAAAGAGTTTACAAATGAAGCTCGCAAATTGGAGACGGGGAGTGATTTTGGGTCAGCGTCACCCTGTTGTTCTCTTTCCTTACCTAACGGACGCGTTGCTCACACGATTTCTTTGTTTATCGGCCCCCATGTCAGCAACATGGTGAGTGACCCGGACACCGAAGAGAGGAGGAAGGTCCCGTGGAAGAGCAAGTCCAAGCAGGGCAAGGCGCTGCCGCAGGGCGCCTCTCCCATGCTGCAGCGGCCATGTAGCAGCGACTCGCAGCCTCGCAATGACAGTCCCTTACCGGACGAGCACGGAGAATGGCAGCCTGACGGGGCCAGCGGCGATATTGAAACAGGTGAGACGACCAACAAGGCTCACTGAGCGTCTCGCTGTCAGTATCATTTGTGCTTTGCTTCACTGTTGGGTATATTGGTGCAGATGAGTACGTTGACGAGCTGGGCAAGGGTCAGTCAAACGTGCTGGTGGCTGTTCGGTGCCGGCCGCTGCAGCCACGGGAGGTGAGGGAGGGCGTGAAGCATGCGGTGCGGATCATTGACGGGAAAGTGGTGATACTCATCGACCCTTCACAAGGGCAGATAGATCAGCACGGACAGCCGGTGCTCGACGCGCTGAGGCAAAACCGGTCCAAGGAGAAACGGTGAGGAGACAATCAAGAAGGCGGTCATTCCATCAATGTGATTGATGTTTGTCTATCTTTTTGTGTGTCGGTGGCTGCGTAGGTATGCGTTTGATCATGTCTTTGACGAGACGACTCCGCAGCGGACAGTGTACAACAACACGACCAACTTCCTCATCAGCGGAGTCCTGCAGGGATTCAACGCAACTGTCTTCGCTTATGGGGCAACAGGTACGTAGACCGACAGAGACACGGAGACAGGCAGTGCCGCCCGCACCACTGTATACGTACGTCATGGGGAGTCATTTATTTGCAGGTGCTGGCAAGACCTTCACGATGCTGGGATCTTACAAGGAGCCGGGCATCATGTACATGACGCTGCAGGACCTCTTCTCCCAGATGGACTCACAGACCGACGAGCGTGGCTTCGAGGTCAAGTGCAGCTTCCTTGAGATATACAACGAGAACATCCGAGACCTCCTGCAGCCGTCATCCGACTACCTCGATGTGCGAGAGGACCCCGTCAAGGGCATCACTGTCGCAGGCATTTCCGAGTTCAGCGCTGACAGTGCAGCCGAGGTCATGGACCTCTTGTTGGCGGGCAATCGCAATCGGACGCAGGAGCCCACTGACGCCAACCAGACCAGTTCCCGGTCACATGCAGTGCTGCAAGTGACAGTGCAAGAGAAGGAGAAGGGCCAAGGCGTGCAGGCCAAGTGAGCATGGATGGCACAACGAGCATTGAGTGTGCTGTATGTATCGGCTTTGGGTGCCTTTTGCAGGTTCCATGTTGGCAAGCTGAGCATGATAGACCTGGCGGGCAGCGAACGAGCCTCTCAGACCAACAATCGCGGCATCCGAATGATCGAGGGGGCCAACATCAACCGCTCTCTGCTGGCGCTTGGTAACGTCATCAACGCCCTGGCGGACCGGTCCAAGCACGGCAAGGGGACATTCATCCCCTACCGGGACAGCAAACTCACAAGATTGCTGAAAGACTCCCTCGGCGGCAACTGCCGGACGGTGATGATAGCAAACATCAGCCCCAGCCATATCCAGTTTGAGGACACACACAACACGCTCAAATACGCCAACAGGCAAGCCGAGCTCGACTGGCGCTGGCGACTCGACTCACTCAGGCCTCCGTCCACCTGTGTGTCCGTCTGTCTGTCTGTGTCTCGTCCATCTATCTATCAGAGCGAAGAATATCAAGACAAAGGTGACGCGCAATGTGCTGAAGGTCGACTTCCACGTTGCCAAGTACCAGAAGATCATTGAGGAGCTGCGCACAGAGATCACCGAGCTAAAGGCCAAACTCAGCTCACAGAGGGAAAACGTAAGATCGCTAACCACACACAGATGAGATGAAGGATGACCGACCGATGTCGCCCTTTTCCCTTATGTGCCACGTCAGCAGCCTCATTCGTTTGCCCTGGACGGCCCCATCGGCGCTGGTGCGCATGACGAGCGGATGGAGCAGGTTGAGTCCGAGATGTGGCGGCAGGAGATCATGCAGCACTTCGAGGAGAAGCTGCAGCTCAAACGGAACCTCATAGACCTGGACAGGCTGCTCACCGAGAACAAGATCGAGAAGAGCCGCGCGCAGGTGGCCATATCCCGGTGGGAGGCCAAAAGAGACGGTGCGGGTGACGAGACGCCCAAGGAGATCAAACAGATCACCGACCGGATGAGGCACGTCAACCAGAACCTCGCCAGCAATCAGCAGAAGAAGGCCGAGGTCGAGGACCGGCTCAGGCAGAACTACGCGCAGCTGCAGAAGCTGCAGAACGAGCTGCCGCGCCGTGTCAAGAACGACGACATGCGCGCCTTCCTCCAGCTGCTATTCCGCGCCCATGTGGTGGAGCTGGGCAACATCGAGCTGCAGGAGATCAACAACATGAACGCTTCCGTGCTCGAGCAAAGGGACCTGGAGATCGAGAATCTTCGTCTGCAAATCCGCCTGCGGGACAACATGATCAAGGAGAGAGAGGCCCTCTTGTCCTCGGAGCAGCTGCAGAAGCTGGAGGCGTCCAAGCCGCCATCGTACCTGCCCTGCAAGACCACCGCCGAGTGGACGACAGGCGTCCCGTCTCCGCGCACTCGCAAGCGGCCCAGCCCCCGGGGGCTGGTCAGCCAGGCGCCCGGCAATCGTGAAGCCAAGACCACTATGGAGCGAAACCCGAGCGAGGCATACCTCAACTCAGAGGTGAGAATGGCCATGCCATTCATCCAGACACATCCATCGATCTCTGTGCATTAATTAATGGCTCTGTGTCTGCGTCTCAGTTGAAGGAGGTGCCAGTGCCGGATCCTCGTAAGATCAAGGGTCTTCAGCGAATCGCTAGTCACTCCAAGCTGGCGCACTCGGAGCCCCCGGGTGCGCGGCGGCAGCCCCCCGTGCAGCAGCAGCAGCAACAGCAGCAGCATGATGAGAGCACCGCGAGCGTGTCTGTGGAGGACGATCGGACCACCAGGGGGCCCGTCAGGCGACAGACCGACCAGTCTGTCTGCTCTGGCGATGAGCGGTCCATCACGCCCTCACCGGTGGGTGAGAGACGGAGACACGCACGCAAAGAGAAAGACATCTGGACGTCTCGCCTTCTCTGTGTGGTGCTCCTCAGGCCCCTCTCCGCGACGTTCATGCAGACCGCTGCGGCCGCCCCCGCCCCTACCCCCTGTCTGTCTCCGACCGCCCCACCAATGCCGGGCTGCTCTCCTCACCCCACTCAAGCCCCCGCCCGCGTATAGCTTTCGACGGGTCACCAGAGCGCTTTAGAAGACGGCCGCCTGCAGCCCCTGGTAGCAACCAGCAGAGGCTGCAACAGCCTAACGGTGTGGGGAGCAGAAATGTGTCGAGACAGCAGTCGGGTGCTCAGTCGAGGACGCACAGCAATGACAGCTTGGGGGACAGGGGAGGCGGGGGTCATCGCGCGCTGTCCCAGCCGCCCGTCGGGAGGGATCAGAGGGCCAATCGGAACAAGCCGATGCAGTAAGTGACCTATGTCGATTTGTTTATCGACCACACTGCATTCATTCATTTGGCTCTGTGTGTGCAGAAAGGCCTATCTGCCATACTTGCGGCCCAACCAGCAGCAGGGCCAGCTGGCGAATGCAAACGGGCTTGGCAGCAAGCAGCCAAGGCGGCGGAACAGCAGAGACAGGATGAAGGTCGAACGAGTGAGTCTTCAGCAAAGTGCGAGAATAGAATGCCTGACCGGCATTAGCTATCTCTCTCTCTCTGTGTGTGTGCGTGCAGGTGTACACAGGCAGGGTGGCCCAGTCGCCCCAGCCGATGGAGCCCCTCCCCCTCACCCCTCCCAATCCGCGGCAGCAGCCACTGGCACCCAGGCGCCAAGTGTCGGGCAGGAATGAACCAACCAGCAAGAGAGAGACGCCTACGCCACATGGTATGTATCAAGGCAAGAAACACGTGTATGGCGGCATTTTTCATTATGGGTGGGTTGTGCCATGCATGTGTGTGGTGCAGAGAGGGGCGTGGGAAGGCCACCGAATCTGCCACCCTTGTCGACGGCCGACATCTACCTTAGATAAGGCCAGCACGTGTGTGTCTTTTTCACTTGCTGGCGTCTGTCGGTGCGCTGCTCTGCTCTGTTGTTGGTTTGGTGCAAGAGAGGCCTGCCTGCTGTTGCTCTGCTCTACTCGGTGGTGCTCATGATGTGTGTGTGTGTGTGGGTGGGTGAGAAAGAGACGCAGAGCCATTTGTGTATGTGTATGTGTGTGTGTATGTGAAACCACCGGATGTGTGGCGCGGTGCAGAGATCGATCGTATTTTGTATTTTTGCCAGCACATCCATCCGTGCCGTGACACCAGTGGCTGCATGTGTGTTTGGTTGATGTGATAGGCCGGTAGGTAAACAAACCATTCCCTCACTGTCGTCAACAAATCAGTCAGTCACCCGTCCTGGCCCGTCCCAAGCCGTTCTATCTGCCTGTCCGAACCCTCACCCACTCACTCACACACATCCATCCCTCTATCACTAGTTGTGCCCATCGCCGCCCTCCTTGTGTGCCTTCTTGTGGGCGGGCTCCCCCACCCCGTCCCCCGCCCCCGCCCCGCCCCCCATCTCATGCACAAACAGCCGGGCCCGCTCGCCGCCCACCACGCGGTTGACGCCGGGTGCCTTGTCGGCGACGTCCTGGTCGATCTCGGCGGCGAGGTCGCGCATGGCCTGCGGGGTGCAGGGGAGGTCGTACAGCATCTGGCTCGCCTGGCTGCGGCCGTGCGACGGGCTCGCCTCATCTGAATGGAATGAACACATGCAGGTGAGTGACAGCAGCAGGTGGGTGTCCAGAGGCATCTGTGTGTTGTGTTGTGTGTTGTGTTGCATTCTGTGTGCTGTGCTGACCTTTGGTCTTGACTACGCCACAGATTTCGTCATTGCAGTACGTCTGCACGTATCGCTCTGTCTGGGGTGGCAGGCAGACGGGCTCGGGGCGGGGGGGGAGGAGGTCGGGGCGAAGCTTGTACAGGACCTCCTCGGCCGAGGGGCGATCCGTAGGCGTCGGGTGCAGCATCAGCAACAGCTGCAGCCATTACATTCGCCCATGCTGCAGGTGTGGAGGGGTGGGGTGAGGGGTCATGCTCACCTGCTCTACGATGGCGTCATTGATTTTGCCGCTTGCCTTGAGGTCCTTCTCGATGTCGCCAGACGTGTGCACGTGCTGACATACAGACCACCACAACAACCGCAACCACACATGCCGCAGATGGATGTTTCATTCATGTGTTCTCTCTCTTCTCTGGCACACCGACCTCGAGCTTATCCGCGTCCGTCGGCAGCTTCTTCTGCGTAATGATGGTGTAAGCACTCGCACCCAAACTGTAGATGTCGCTCTGACAACACACACACCCACACCACACACCAACATACATACCAACACACCAACACACCAACACACCAACACCCTGCACCCCACCCGACCATCAGCCCACCCCGCCATCAGCCCACCTTCTCTGTGTGTGTGAAGCTGAGCCGCATGGAGCCGTCCTTCGGGCTCCTCTGGGGATCAGCGTACTGCATTTCCTCCTCGCTCAACTGCACCGAAGAGTTGCCGGAGTCCAAGTGGCGGGCCTGGCTCAGGTCGGTGATGATGGACGCCCGGCGGTTCGCGGCGATGCCGAGGTGGGCTGATGGGAAAGAAGGAACAGATTGACAGGTGGGGGATCGGTGTGCGGTGCAGGGTGGTGTGGTGTGGTGTGGTGTGGTGTGACCTGGGCATATGTTGGCTACGACGTGGCTGTGGAAGTGGATGAAGACGAGGGCGTGCAGGTACTGGTAAAACATCGGCGGGAAGATCTGACGCAAGGCACACAGGCACAGCCATCCATCCATCCAGCTAACTATCGAGCCGTCCGTCCGCTGGTGTGTTGTGTTTGTGTGATGGATGAGAGTGTCGATTTCACCTCAAGCATCCTGTCGTGTGCGACTTTGGTCTTCTCGATGGGCAGATAGGGCTCGAACTGCAGCACCAACCTATCGTCCTCTGCACCACACCGCGCCACACCCACACCACACATGTGCACATTTCCCCTCCCACACAGACAGACAGAGAGCGACCTACCAGTGCCCCACGCCGAGAAGAAGCGGATCACAAACGGGCAGTCCGCCCGACTCCCCTCCCTGCCCAACGCACCAAACGCCTTCACAGCAGCGCTACCTGCACACACCACACCACACCACACCTCCAGCCCCCTCTCGTCCTCTCGTCCTCCCGTCCATCACCCTCCCCGTCCCACTGACCTTTAAACTTGTCGATGAAGCGCAGTGCGTATTTCTGCCCGTCCACGTAGTTAACGCCCTCCACCACCCGCTCCTGCACAGACCGCTCCCACCCCGCTAAGCGGAAGTGCCGCTCGATGCGCGGCACGGTGGCGTCGTCGTAGGGCGGCTTGTCGTTGGGGCGGAAGCCGCCCGTCGACGAGAAGAGGAACGGCGGCGCTTCGAGGAACCCGCGGGCGTCCTTCTTGCGTGCCTGCTCACGAATCTTCCTGAACACAACACAGATAAGAAATGAGGTTTGTGGTCAGATGAGATGTGTGTGGTCTCTTCGTTCTCCTCTCTCCTGGCTGGCTGGCTGGTCAGGTCACACACTTACTTTTTCTGGTCCATCTTCTCCATCATGGCGGAGCCCGACTGGCCCATCCTGCGGGCGTAGCAGTTGAGTGGCACGGGGGGATGACCCATGGGGGTGCACATGTCGTATCCGCCGCCACCCATCGCCTCGTCCACCTGGGTGTTGTTGTTCTCCTGCTGCTGGGGCTGCTGCGAATACCCCAGTGGGAGGTCGGGAGGGGGCATCATGTCGCTGCTGTTGCGAGCAATCCTGCTATCCGTCATCTCGCCAACAAAAGCTACAATAAGCCGGAAAACACCGATAGATCTCCTCGCCAAAGGGCCAGGACGTCCGGGCGGGGATCTCTCGGCTCGCAGTTTTCTTTTCGGAGGAGAAAAGGGCGATAGATAGACATGGAGGATGAGCCTACCCCTCCTAGCCCCAGCCGTCTTCGCATTCGGCGTTCCGCCCGAGAGGTCCAGGTCAACACGGAGTTCAATTTCGAGGAGGACCGTCAGCCTGAGGATGACCCGATGGACGTTGATCACCCATTCCACCACCACCAGCACCAGCAGCACCACCAGCAGCACCGCAGATCCCGCCTGTCGGCCGCCGCCGCTGTGGCGTCTGCAGCCACCGCCGACGACTTTGGGATGGGCGGCGAGATGGATGATGGGATCCTGGGCGAGGAGGTCGCCGATGTGGACGACTATGGGATGCCGAGCCGGTGCAAGGAGGACTTCGGGAGTCAGATGGAGATAGGCAAGGGCAGCTATGGGGAGGTCAAGAGGGTGAAGGACAAATATGGCGAGAACCCGTACGCCGTCAAGCTGTCCAGGGAGCTGGAAGGTGGGCGGGGCGGGGCGGGGCGGGAAGTGCCATCCATTGTGGTGTGGTGTTTTGATGGTGTGTTTGTTTTGGGTATGCAGGTGAGCGTGACGCGTTGTTCATGATGCGTGAGGGCAAGTTCCTCGCCGAGCTGGCCATGAAGGACGACCTCCCCCGACAGATACTCGAGGTCAACTCGTGCTGGCTGGAAAGTAAGACGACATGACATGACATGACATGACATCATAACCCTACACATCCATCCATCCATCCATCTGTCTGTCTGTCTGTCTGTCTGTGTTAATGTGTCGGTGTGTATGTGTGTGTGCAGACTACGGCACTCAGATCTGCGTTCAGATGCAGCTGGGCAGCCACACCATGATGGACGAGTTCTGCACCAGGAAAATACTAGAATCGGTGGGTGGGGGAGCGGGTGTGGGAGAGGGAGAAACACACACACACACACACCCTGCATCACACCCCCTTTTCCGATATATGCAGGAGTTGCCCAACATCGTGTTGCAGGGTGCCCTGGCCATCAAGTTCCTGCACACACACAACCTGGCACACCTAGACATCAAACCAGGTAAGATCCCTACACACACCATCGCACCAGGAGGGAGGCAAGATCAGGTGGCAGTCCATCCATCCCTTTGTCTGTGTGTCTGTGTGTGTGTGTGTGACCTCCCTGCCTCAGACAACTTCGTTCGTGTCGAGAACGGGGCGTGGGTGCTGATAGACTATGGCCGGGTGGTGCCGGCTGACGTAGAGCGTACCATAGAGGGAGACTCGAGATACTCGCCACGCGAGCTGGTGCAGATGGACCGCATCGTGCCCTTCTGTGGCGCCAAGCCGGTCAGTTTAGCTGGTGGAATGCAATGCACCCTATCCAATATATGTGTGGGTGTGGGTGTGTTGGCACTTGTTTGTGTGGTGTGTCATACATGTTTTCCCTCCCTCCCTGTCTCAGTGTGATGTCTTCTCGCTCGCCGCGTGTGTGTTTGTGGTGGTGGTTGGGAAGGAGGCCATCTCCAAGATCAAGGAAACAACCGTGAGCCATCACATGGCCCGCTGTCGTGCGCGGATGAGGAAAGATGCACCGTTTTCGTGTGTGTGTGTGTGTGTGTGTGTGGTGCAGAACTACATGCCCTTTGTCGTAGCCAAGTTGGCGGAGCTAGAGAACCTGCCGGGAGACTTCAAAGGACTTGTAGGCAACCCCCCCCCCCCCCCCCCCC